GCATACATCCGAGAGTTCTGAAAGAACTCAAATGTGAACTTGTGGATCTCCTTACAAAAATATGTAATCTTTCCTTAAAATCTGCCTCCATTCCTGAGGACTGGAAGGTAGCTAATGTCACTCCCATCTTTAAAAATGGTCCCAGAGGAGATCCAGGAAAATACAGGCCAGTCAGTCTGATGTCAATAGCAGGTAAATTGGTGGAAACTGTTATTAAGGAAAGAATTAGTAGGCACATTGATAAACAAAAACTATTGAGGCAGCCTCAGCATGGGTTCTGTAAGGGGAAGATCTTGTCTCACTGACCTGTTAGCATTCTTTGAGGGAGTGAACAAACATGTGGACAAGGGGGAGCCCATTGATGTTGTTCACCTTGATTTCCAGAAAGCTTTTGATAAAGTTATTCATCAAAGGCTCCTAAGTAAGCTCAATAGTCATAGGATAAAAGGCCAATCTTCTTGTGGATCATGTACGGTTGCCAGTCCCCAGGTAGGAACAGGGGATCCCCCAATTCCATGAGCTCTGCCCCTAACAGCCACAACCATGTGATGTCCCTGATATGATGACGTCACACGGAAGTGATACTCTGGTTTTGGGGCAAAACTCAATGGTTTGAGCCCAAAGGCTAAAGTAATTACAGATTTTTAGTTTAGAAAAATGACTAAGGTGGGACCGTGATACAGATTTATAAAATTAAGCATGATAAATCATCAGGCCTGGATGGCATGCATCCAAGAGTTCTCAAAGAACTCAAATGTGACAAAAACTATTGAGGAAGATTCAGCATAGGAACTGTAAGGGAAGGCAGCCTCAGCATGGGTTCTGTAAGGGGAAGATCTTGTTTCTCTAACCTGTTAGCGTTCTTTGAAGGGGTGAACAAACATGTGGACAAGGGGGACCCAATAGATGTTGATCACCTTGACTTCCAGAAAGCTTTTGATAAAGTTACTCATCAAAGGCTCTTAAGTAAGCTCAATAGTCATGGGATAAAAGGACAAATCTTCTTGTGGATAAAAAACTGGCTATTTAATAGGAAACAGAGAGTGAATATAAATGGGCAATTTTCACAGTGGAGGGTGGTAAGCAGTGGGGTACTGCAGGGATCAGTACTGGGTCCAATTTCTTTTAACTTGTTCATTAATGATTTTAAGTTGGGAGTGAGCAGTGAAGTGGCTAAATTTGCGGATGACACAAAATTGTTCAGGGTGGTGGGAACCAGGAAGGATTGGGAGGCGCTCCAAAGGGATCTGTCGAGGATGGGCAAGTGGGCGTCAACATGGCAAATGGGGTTCAGTGTGGCCTAGTGCAAAGTGATGCACACTGGGGGCAAAAATCCTAACTATAAATACACATTGACGGGGTCTGAAATGGCAGAGACTGACCCAGAGAGAGATCTTGGGAGTCATAGTAGGTAACTCACTGAAAATGTTGGGACAGTGTGTGACTGCAATAAAAAAGGCCAACAGTATGCTGAGGATTATTAGGAAAGGAACTGAAAACAAATCAGCCAGTATTGTAATGCCCCTGTATAAATTGATGGTGCAACCTCATTTAGAATACTGTGTACAGTTCCGGTCATCACACTTCAAAAAGGATATTAAAGCACTGAAAAAAGTGCAGAAAAGGGCAACTAGAATGATAAAAGGGTTGGAACACTTTCCCTATGAAGAAAGGTTAAAACACTTGGGGCTCTCTAGCCTGGAGAAACAACGTCTGAGGGGTGACATGATTGAGGTTTACAGGATTATGCATGGGATAGAGCAGGTCGAGAAAGAAGTACTTTTCTCCCTTTCTCACAATACAAGAACTCGTGGGCACTCAATGAAATTGTTGAACAGTTGAGTTAGAATGGATAAAAGAGGGAAAAGGATAAACATATGGAGCAGAGGTCCATCAGTGGCTAGCAGAGAGAAAAGAAAATTTTAGAAGACATATTCAAATACATGGTGACAGCAGCTAAAACAATTTACACAGCAAAATGGAAACTAGACACCTGTCCACATTTAGAAGAATGCAAAAATAAACTTGCTGAATATGCAGTAATGGCAAAATTAACAACCTATTTGAGAAACAGGTCTATTACGAAATATGAGGAGAGATGGTGTGTATTATGCTAGCAGGAGACAAACGTCAAGTGAGAAAATATCATATACAAATGTATGGTA